GTAACGTTAGAAACGGTGTTATCCTTTTCTTCTGCTGATTCGTTTGAAGAAAGTTTAAGATTATCGCTAATTATTTCGTCAAAATTGATCAAACCTTCCGTCATTGATTCGATTCTATTCTCTCGAGCATTCATGAAAACAATTGGTTCTTCTTTTGAATTATCTTTTGAACCATCCTTTTCTGTCACATTTTCAATTGGATTTTCAGAGGAAGTATTCTCGGTCTCTTGAGTGGTTCCTTGAGTAGAATCTACTCCAATAGTATCGACTAAATTCATAATACGACCGATAACTGCATCATTCTAAACATCATAATCTTTATCATCAACGTCATTATTGGCGGTAGAATTACTTTCGGTAGAATTATTACTAGTATTACACTTGTAATCACAAAAGTAGGTGTAGTGTGTCTAGATTGTATTGGTTTAATTAAAAAGCTGTCGACATTCTTTGATTACAAATAAAGATTTTAATTTTTCCTTGGTAGCGGTATAAATATTCTTTTGCTGCTTCAATGTCGTTGTACTTATACCAAAGGAGCGTCGTCGCCTTTTAACTTTTCTTGTATATGTGAAAGAGGTAAATGATCCTGTTCGTTAAAGATTGGTGAGCAATTTTGCGTATTAATACCGTTTCTTCTAATTTCTGTCGTCGCTGTTGTCTTACTAGATGAATTAAGTGTCATTCGCTGCTAGCCGATCGAGTTGTTTTACTTGAATTTGTAACAAATAAATAACGAGTGAACCTATCAACGTTATCGATAGTACAACTTTGTTCTAGAATACGAAAAGCATTGCGGAGTGAACTACAGGTAAAAAAAAAAAATTATCGATATTAAATATTAACTAATACATTTTTTTAGTGTTCCAGTAGAACGAATTTTTTTCTTGCGGAACCGATCTGATATCAACCAAAAGAAGTGATCTTAAAGCTAATACAATTTGCGCCTGTATGCCTGGTGGAAAATGACGTAAAGAAAAAAAAGAATTAAGATTAATGCTCACAAAAAATAATAAATTTTTAAAAATAAAATAATCATTTTTTTTTATTTTTGGCATTAATATTAATTACCCTTGAAAATTTGACTCTAATCCAGGTTAAACAATAATCGGGTCGAGTCGAATCCGAGTCGAACAATGATCGAGTCGAGTCGAATTCAGGTTCTGTAATTATTAACGGTTCGAGTTTGAATATGCCTTAAACCGACCCGACCCGACCTTTTGATACAGTAACTGTAGAATTTTCAACAGTAATGAAAGTATCTAAAGAAGTAACATCCGTTTTAATATCCGTTGTTGAAGTGGTACCAGTGCTAGTTTTTTTAAATAATGATGCTACGAATTTTAACATTTTGTGTAATTATTTAAAGAGGGGATGGAATTGTCAAAAGAAAAGGGAGTCTCTACAAAGAAGTAATATATGAATGTTGAATGGCACAGTATCTTAAGTAATAAGAACTGCATTTTTTTTCTAAAAATTGAAAGTATTACGCGAAAGGAAAAAAAGATGGAGAGATACTTTTGCCCAAGATAGCCAATATTAGGATAAGTGGCGAGATGATAGCCAAAAAACTATAGTGTATTTGCGTTTGATAAAACATCCGTTACTATTTAGTCAATAGTGTTTTATTCAGTTCTTTCGTTTAAGTATTTACAGAGGGTGGACAAAAGTTTCCGGACACTTTTTCACCAAATATAAAACTTATAATTCCTTAGCATTAATAGTAAA